ATTTTTAAGCTCGTTTTGGATTATCTCACGAATTCGTTGTTCTAGTAAAGTTGAAGTTGGATTCCCCCTATCCTCTGTAGAATATATATCTTTCTTTTCTTTGTATCGTTTCGGAATTTGCTTTTGCGAGGATATCGCATTGAGTACTTGCTTAGGTCGCTCTATTTTTTTTTAATTCTGTCTACATCAACATTGGAATCTCCATCGGATATATTATCCTCTTCTTGATCGGAAATAGCAAATTCATCGGGGAGTTCTTCTGTATCAGAGTGGCTTTGTTGAAATCCATCGGCAAAATTCACACGACCAGTTTTTTTCTTAGAATTAGCAACCATATTCCTAATTACAGGACAACTGCGATAAGTATGACCCAGCTTTTTACAAATTTCGCATTTACGTTGGGTTGATCTAGCAGTAATCTTAGATGAATTTGTTGCATTTATTGTTGGCTCTGGTATATTAGATAATTCTTTAATCTGATTGACTTTATTGATAATTGCGTAATCGATTTCCATCGGTTCTAGTACTCTGTTATCTTCAACTTCGAGACCCATTTCCGCATAATTCTTTAACTCTTCATAGTACTTGGCTTTCTCAGTTTTGGGACGAAAATTTCGTTGAAATGGTTGGAGCTCCGGTTGTTGAACGATTTGTTGAGGCGGTTGGAATACTGGCTGTTGAACGATTTGCTGAGGTGGTTGGAATGCGGGTTGTTGAACGATTTGCTGAGGTGGTTGGTATGCGGGTTGTTGAACGATTTGCTGAGGCGGTTGGTATGTGGGTTGTTGAACGATTTGTTGGGGTACCTGAGACACCATCCCATTCATATTATTTGCACTTCCGTAATTAAATGAAGAAGGTTTACGCTCCATCCACATATTCTTGAGATTAGTAAAGAATGCATCAATGTCCGTGGGTTGTGCAACTTTCATTCGAGTGAAAAGTTCATCAGGTAAATGTTTCATAAGAAATCCTAAAGCATTGGCATCATTATTAGGCACTCCTAATACAAAGGGTCGAATTCTATTCTCATATGTTTCTGGAGTATCAGTAGGCATGAACAATTCGGATGCCAATCTTTGAATTGCGACTTGTTGAGTTCCAACCATTTCTTGCTGATATTTAAATCTGAGCCAAGCTCTGAATCGTGCTGGAGTATCAATATTTGTTCCATTTGGATATTGCGCAGGAACTGGTAAATATTTTCCTCCCATTTGCGATTTATAAATATCTGCCTTGTGAGCATCTGTAAAAGTGTTTGCATTGGCATCATTAGCATCAGTGATAAGTGTATCGGCATAAGAAATTGCTTGAGCAACCCTGTTGCAATAATCGTCCGGTGGTTCCTGGCCTATATAGACTGGAATTTGGGCAAGTTTCGGTGCAATAGTTAGATAGATATGTTGTCTTGATGCCTGAGCCATATCTTGTAGATTATTCTGAAGCGTTAAAATTTGCTGATTTAAATTTATTATTCTTAGCCGGGAATCTTTTTCCTTATTTTCCCATTTTTTATGCTTCGCCTTTTGTTTGGTATGCTTACCCTTCCTTTTTACATGCTTCCTATGCCAATTTTGTAATTCAGCTTGACATGTTTGCAATTGTCCCGTCTGGAAATTATGGGCATGATTAAGAAGATCGAAATTATTATTTGCAGTATCCAACCGAGCCTGTAATTGTATAATAATTTGTGCATCTCCCTGAATTTGGGCTTGAAGTTGAGTTGCTTGATTATTCAACCCCGCAATCATCTGACCATATTGCTGATACTGGGTTTGTGCTTCGTCATTTTCCCATTCAGCAATTTCTTTTAGTCGATGTGCAGACTCATTAACTGTAATAATCTTGTTTAGAATATCCCTCTGATTCCAAGCTGAAGTGTGGGGATTTCGAATATAACCATCAATATGTACATTTTCATCCAGAAGTGTATCGAAAAGGTTGTTAAGTTCATTGGGGCTAGGTGGTTGAATTGGATCTGGTTGAATTGGCTGAGACATCTCAACTATGTTAAATGAATCTTTGATTCCTACAGATTTATTATACTTCCGAGATGTAATTTTTCGGATTCTATTTTTTAACTGGTTCACTTCCTCTTCGAGTGTAGACAACTGTTGCTCTAGATCAAGAACATAACTCTCTTTTTTATCCACATCCTTTAGAGCAGACCGAAGACGTTTTTGCAAATCAGATACTTGGGATTTGAGTTCCTGAATCTCCTTTTCGTGGGCTATGATTGTAGTATCCTGAAATGAAATGGACCTACTACATTGTTCTAGTTCTTTTATGAGAGTGCAGATTTTTTTTTCGTTCTGACAATTTATACTTACCTCTGCATTAAGTTCCTTCCTCAACTCCTGATTACTTTTCAGCAATGCTAAATAGGCAGGATCGAAATTGAAACCCATGACAAAAAATTCAGCCTTGGTTTATAGTATTAATAATATTTTGCGGTCATGGCAATGAATGTACCTACTATTATAATCAAAGCTGACGAGGAATTAAAAATCGTTCTTAGAGTAATCTACTATCACGTACCTGGTTTTTATTCAAACACGAAACAGTTACAAAAGGCTTGTTGGAGAGAAGGGTATGATCATTTTTTCCTGCAAGATATTGAAAAGTGGTTAAAGAACCAGTATATACATCAAATACATCTCTTTCCGCAAAAATGCAAAGCTGGGGCAGGTTTCCAGAAGATATCTATTCCTAACAAAGTCCATCAGTGTGATTTATTGCCACATGGTCATGATGATCAGGATGGTGAAAAAATATACCTCTATACTTTAGTGGTAATAGATGTGGCAACTCGCTATAAAAATGGACGTTCGCTAACATCAAAGAATAGTTTAGAAGTCTGGAATGCTATCGAAGAAATATACAATGATCCAAATAATCCTCTCACATGGCCAAAGTTGTTAATGGCTGATGGTGGTCGGGAATTCTCTGGATATTTTTCACGAGGGATGGAACATCATAATGTATTTATCTGGGTCGTTGACCTTTACAGTTTCGAAAGTCTAGCATTGGTCAAAGCATTGAAACGAAGATTAGCGCAAATAATATACAAAATTCAATATGCTATAGAATCTAAATTACCAGCAGGAGAGCGCTCTACATTATGGAATATGATTCTCGAAGTAATTTTCGATAATATGAACAACAGTCCTACACGATTAATCGGGATGAGCCCTTCCCATGCTATGACATTAGAGAAAGTGATATCTAAACCTTCAATAAAACCCAAGAGGCCAGTTGGAGAAAACGAAGAACAAATACCAAAAGGCACTACTGTTCGATACTTGTTAAAACCCGGAGAATTGGAAGGTGGTCATAGACGCCGAGCAACTGATCCATACTTCTCATTACGTGTTTATCGAATCAGAAAAATTGTTGTTGGAAAAAATCCTCCACAGCCAGTCTTATATTATCTTGAAAAGGAAGCAGTTGAGTCAACCCAACATTTAATGGGCCGTAATCCTCGTCGACCATTTAAGCGCGAAGAATTGCAAATCGTAGATATGGAAAATCTTGAATATCCGCCAGACGAATTTATCCAGAAATATCATTATCGTCCTCGAAGTACATCATTATCAATTGGAACAGTCTTGGAGGTGACCCTTCTTGATTAAAGCTTTTTGGATAAAGTTATAAAGATCTACGTCATATGGTATTTCGATGAGACATACTCCTTCCTTTTTGCATAGATCCCGCTTTTTTTGATCCCGTTTGATTTGATTATCCAGATCACTCTGGCCATTGGGATGAAAATGTTTTGGAATGAGACAGTAATGATGTTGGCCATTAAATTCGAACGCCAGTTGCAATTCCTTATTGTACCCATCAAGATGTAATCCCTCTAAGAATTTAGGTCGGGATGGTGGAAATTCCTTTCCTAACAAATCTTCGAATATATACCTTGATGTACGTTCCCCTTTCGAATGAGGACATAGGGGGCACCAGTCATATCTCTTCGTAATAGGCCTCTCCCATAAGTGATTTCTATTGCATGAAAATAAGAAAGTTGTAGGACCGGTTTGAATGTGACATTTTCCTCCACGTTTTTTGGCGTAAATTTGAGCTTCTGCAAGATTCGACATGTTTATACTCATTTCTAGGAAAAATTCGCAAAAAAATATATAGTCAGTATCAGAATGAAGTACTATTGTATGTATATAATATTGATGGAATCAAACCACCGAAAAAATCTTTAGATGATGTTGTACACATTTAATGAGGCTGTGCAAGTATTATTTTTAGAATTTTAACATGTACGACACATGATCGCAATAATGTAATTCAAAAAATCACGTGCGCGTGAAGAATCTTCACGCCGATCACTTTTGCCAAGAAAAAAAATCATAAAGATATAGTTGAATTGATATCAGAATGAAATATTTTTATGTATATCATGTTGACGAAGTTAAGCCATCTAAGAAATCTTTAGATGATGAAGACGCTCCAAAGTGGCCATTCTATATTGTAGTATCAGGGAGATCGAACACTGGTAAGAGCAATATGATGTTAAACCTCTTTCTCGGGGATAAGTATTATGATATGAAAGAGGGAAAAAAGAAAATTGGTGAGCGTCCTATAAGATGTAATGATATTGTATTAGTAGGACACTATATTAATGAACCCAAATACCGATTAATTCGAAACTTCTATAAGAAAATAGCAGATCCTTCCAAACCGTATTATGAAGATGTTACTTTTACTGCATTTACACCTGATAAAATTCCAGATCCAAAGCAGTTTAAAAATCCAAAAAGACGTACAGTCATTATTTTCGAGGACATGTGTGCTGAACCCCAATCAATTCAGGATCGTATTATTCCATTTTTTAACAGAGGTCGGCACAGTAATATCTCTGCCATCTATATTACACATAAATTTACACAAGTACCAAAAATCATTCGTGAAGGAATTACTCACCTCGCATTATTCAATGGTGGGGGATCAACAGAAGATATTGCACGAATTATAAGACAATACATAGAGGAAGATCCACGTAAAGCTTCTAAAATCATCAATAAATATTTGCGGAATGGTGAATTCATTGTCTTTGATACCACTATACCAATCTCCAACCCTATGGCTCTTAGACTCGGTTGGATGAACCCTCTAGACTTGGAAAAAGAAATCAAATCATTAACAGCGCAATAAAAAAAGATTTCTAAGATTAAATCACTTCAATGTAAGCAATCAATGATAGGAATTTTTAGTGGAACTAGCTCCGCTAAGCTTGAATAACTTATCTTCTGCCACCTGTAATTGCGCCTTCTTCTTCGAGATTTTATTTTGCGTGACCTTATTTTCTTTGACCCGTTCTTCATAATCCCTAGTGATATCTAGCATGAATTTTCCCGATTATATTTGAGCAATTGCTGAGATAAAATATCGAGTCACAACATTTCCAAAAGTGTACCCTGAAGTCGATCGTCAACACTTGTGGACGATGATCGTGATTGTTACATTTTGGAAGGAGGTCAAATCATTGGTGATGATGATCATGATTACTACGTGTCGGAATCTGGATACACACACCTGAAAATCTGACTTTTGTGATCCGCGAAGTACAAAAAAAAGATACCAGCCCTCAAGGGGGTATCGAAACATTAAATAAATAATTAATTAATATGTGTCAGAGACACTAGCTCCGCTATAAATTAATAAATCAAATAATAAATATGTTATATAATTATAAATTGCTAATTTGGCGCATTTCTGCTCGAATATTCTGTAAGCACGCATAATGCAAAGCGAGTTCAGTCGCCGTCAATCCATCTGGGCGATAAATCCACTCCACAACCTTCCTTTGTATTTTAATACATGCTTTAATCTTTTTCCCAACTTCTCTTGCACGTTTGATCCTTCTAATTGCATTTGTCGTCCATAATTCATAGCGACGTAATGCATAGTTGTCATCATATTTACGTGTGGATTTGGGTTTTTGTATGATTTTTTGGTATTCTTCATAACTCACACCACAGTATTTATTTCCAGTACAATGAGAGGCCCAGTGCCTTTCCATTCCAATATGATTATAATTATTACCCATATTTTTAGTCATTTTTCCGGTATATACTAATTGTTCGCAGGAGAAGCAAATCGCCATTCCAATTTCAGGCGCGTAACTACACCACCTCATATTTAGTTCTGACCACCATTCTTCTAGCTTCCTAGCTTCAAGATATTTTTTGCTTCCTCCGGTAGGTAAAAGGTCATTATCCCTGAAATACTGCAAGCGAGGCCAAATTCGTGATTTCCAATCTCCAGGAGTTTCATCAGTACGAACTTGTGGCATCCGACAATATTCATTCCATTCATCATCACTGCATTTAGAACCAGAATGAGCTATTAATCTGCTAAAATTATCCATTTATATGACCTATTTATGTGTTATAAGTGTATATGATTTAACGAGTTATAGTGTATTTAGGGTTTTAGACCTATTAATTTTATCAAGTATATACATATCTAAAACCGATTCATTTTTTGTGTAATTCTAGTTGAGGAAATAAAGCTTCGAATATATAATTAATCTTCACTAACATTTCCAAAAGTGATACTCAAAGTTGATCGTGAACCATGGTTCACGGTAATCACGTTTGTTACATCTCGGAGTCTGAAATCGGGTATGATAAAAAGTCTGATTAATTCAGGTTCTATATCATTAAATTATTTGATAAAGTACGCATTAATTAATTAAAAATGAGTGCTGATTAATTCAGAAACTCACCATTAAATTGTCCACAATAGCAGGATATGAATTCCATTCGCCTGAATATGTATAACTGTGCCAAAGGTTTAATCTATAAAAACAAGTTATAGGTTAATATCAGAGCACTATAAATTTTATATTTCGAAAAAAAAATCATTCGCTAAAAATGGACACCTTAAGAAGATTCGCTTATAAAATAATTTTTTACGAAACAACACCTTCTTCTATTCCATCTGATATGAGCCAAAGGCTCGAAAATATATTATCTCTTAATCCCGAAGAACCTAACATTTGTCCTGTATGAGAAATTGAAATTTCTCCACAACTTAGTGTACCGATTACAATATTAGTGTGTAAACATATTTTCCACCACGATTGCATTGTAAATAGAACATCTACTGATTGTCCAATATGTGAGATGGTAGCCGAACCAAGTCAGACTTCTTTCGTGGCTGATATATTAGGGGAGAATCTACAAATAAGCTCATTAGGAAATCCATCAGAAAAATTACAAGAATCGTCGGAGGAGGATGATGAAACCAATAATGAAGGATCATCGGAAGAGGTCTCATCAGAGGAGAAATCATCAGATGGGAAAATCCTTGAAGAAACACCAAAGAAACCTATAATTACACGTGGGCAAAAAATAACACAGGGTTTAATATTAGAATTATCTGTACCTACTGAAGGTGTTGAGATCGCTAAAACTAGTAGTAATGAAGAGCGTTCTAATACCGAAACTACAAACCCTTCAGCACTGACTATTGCCCGATTTTTCCAAAGAGAGTTACAAGCTGAAAAAGATGCGATTCAAGGGAATCAAAAAGAAATTCAGTCCTGGTATCGATATGCTGAGATGCATGGAAACAAAGTTAACTATATATTAGCTAATGAGCGCGTCACTATTAAAACAGCGAGAAATATGGTATATAAGGAAATATTAACCCATCTCCCAGACATCACAGCAGAGAATCTACGTAAGAAGACGCAAAAAGCAAAAAACATATATAAGTTGTTTAGTAAGATAGGGGAAGATAAGATTGGTTTAATTGAATCATATAGCGCAGATTCCATCTCTCGTCTCACCATATCTCAAATTCAAAGTATCAATAGACCGTTTTTCATCTGGATCGTAAATGTAAAATAAAATTTATGTATATATAGTAATAGTAATAATATTTGGGAAAAAATCGAAAAATAAATATGCATAATTTTAGTCACTATGTAACAGAGCAAGAATCTAAACCATGTATAGTTGATCCGATTTTGAGATCCCTGCATATAATCGCACAAATATATCAACTGACCTCTTACACGTTCTATGAACTTCTAATAATAGCCGATGATACATGAAAACACAAAAAATAATGTATATGGATTAGACTACAAACATAAACATTAATATTCGAATGCTGATATTAATATATAGAATTCAGAGCATATAATTTTCTATCTTTGTTCCACGAGATTATTTTGTGATACCGCTAAATTATTAATAAAGCTTTTCGATAAGAAAAAAATGCAAATGAGACACAAAAAGATATGAATGAGGAGAGTTTATTGTTCTTTGTCAGTAATAATACTACGTAGAGTCTGACTCATATCAAAATTCATATGTTACGGAACTTGAGATCCGAGATCGCCAAAATTTGTCTTATTTTACACTTTGAATGAGAGATCGCCAGACTGAAAGGTTTAATTTCCCATAATTGACGAAATATACTTTCCTCTTGGCATTTGTGATTCTAATAGAGTTGCTTTATGGGGCAGAGATTCCGTTAATTGCAGGTGAAAAGCATTTTATTATCATATCATTGCCGAAGGCAGTCACGACTATGTTAATCTCTTTTTCTAGCAGGTTCCAGGTCAAGCAAATGAAACAATATAAAATAAGCTGAGTTCGGTTTATAAGGCAGGTTAGAAATACTTTTTGATAAATTATCTTCGTTGAAGTTTACAATGGGTGGATTTATCAATGTTTCAGTTGGTAAATAAATCCTCTTATTAGCTTCGTTAATAAAATCACGATTAGATAATATATAAACATTGATACTTTTTTATGTAGTTTCACCAAAAACTTGGTCAGGTGTAAAACACATCAGCCTTTATGACAGGGACGAAAATGATTCTCATAAAGATACGCAAAAACTCGCTAGGACACATTCCTTGTAAGTTGCATGATTTCGTTTTTCTTACATAACTTTATCTATGTTTCATTTCCACCATTCTGTATAATTATAGCGAAATTACGCAAAAAAAAAAGGGGTTATACTTCGATGTAGATGGCCAAACATTCGATCTTGATGATATTATTGAAAATACGGGACAGCAAGAAGTGAAAAAAGGAGAGTTCCTCTTAAGATTGGAATACGTCGATTCTTCACCAGGACCTTACTTTGCTAGTGCTGATTAATTCAGAAACTCACCATTAAATTGTCCGCAATAGCAGGATATGTTTTTTTTTATTTTTATGTTGTTATTTCGGTAACATTTTTTATATATTAATATCAATAAAGTAAGGTTCTATGTAACCATTCATCAAAATCACGTGCGCGTGAGCAATTGTTCACGCCGATCACTTTTGACAAGAAAAAAAAAAATTTGAATGTGTCTCAATACTTTGATATAATACGTCATTATAAATAAGATATGTCTCGCAAATCTAGAAACAATAGGCGAAAAACTCAAGGTAAATTTACCACGAATCCTACGCAGTATATGCAATTTAAAAACCGGGATAAGTACATGCAAAGAAAAGACGAAGATCACATAACTATCATAAATAAGAATACGCAAGATGTGAAAGCGATTTTTAATTATGTAGAACTATGCAGATATCTGGAGGTAAATAATCTCGATCCGGATATTCTCAACATGTAGTAGAAAATCATCGGATATGTGTAATAATTAATCAGCTTATTTTTTTCGGTCTGTATGAAAATTTTGGCCATCTGGTTGATTTGATTGATTTATAGGATAAATATATTCTAAAAATTACAAAAACCCGGAACGACTTACCTAGCTTATTAATTATCTTCTTTATCAGAAGAAACTGTAGAACTCTTTCGCCTAAGGTAAGTTAACAATAATACTTTTTATCGTATACGTATATTTACAATTTATATGAATTCACAAATAAACAATTTTCAGCAAAGCAGGACAATTTGCGTCTGAATCAGCTATAGTTGATGTATTAATAATAGCTTTGTTTTTTTCTTGACAGTTACGATGTCTGAAAAAAGATGTTTCGTATATAAAGAGAAACAAAAGTCTTTGATACTACACGTGAAAACATTCGAGTAAAGATTGAAGGGTTAAATAATGATATTGCAATGGTTTATTTATAAATGATAATGATAATTCAATCAATCCTTCAAATAATACGGAATTCATAAATATGGCTACTGAAGAAAAAATATCAACCGTATCTATTAAGGATAAAGAAGGATATCTCGTAACTTGGATAATAATTGAGCTATATGTAGATAATAAAAAATTTTTAAGTTAGAACAACAAAAAGAACAGATTTAAAGTGGCTTTTCAAGGGTTAGAACAGTATTTAGTAAGAAAATAATTAATTGATTTCGAAATGTCTGGAGTTTCTTTTTCGTGACCTATTGGTAGATGGCGAACTTGGTGGCGAAGTAATAGTCGACAATGTTGAAGTTTGTGATGATATTGACATATCTGATGATTGTGACATGATCGACATCGATTCTTCAGTATCATTAGTATTATAAAATATCTTACGCGCGGTACATGCGATAGCAGTTCTAAAAGTCAATATCGTATGTATGAGGTGATAAACTTCTTCTGGTTTTGCGGATGATATATCTAACGGAATTTTAGCTCGTCCAAACAAGCAATTTCTATAAAGACCGGCCTCTTTAAACATGTTGCGAATTTCCATTGTATCACCTGCAACATTAATAGTAAAAATTGTTAGCATATCTTTTACTGCCAAGTGTTTGAAGACCCTTTGATTTTTAGGCAGTCCCGATTCATCTATAGAGTCCTTCGAAAGACGGTTCAATTTTTTGTGATCTCGTTAGTGTTGGTTTCCAAAACTATTTTGACATATCAAAACTAGTCTAAGATTAAAGCATAGTTTCAAAACCTATGTCAA